CTGAAATGCGGTGAGATGAAGCACCCTGTGGAGGTGGTGGCAGGGAGGGTTTTGCTGCGTTTCTGATTTTTAATTTTTTTTTTTTTTTTTAATATCTTTTAATTAAATCTCCCCTGGTTGCTGAGAGGCAGCAAATTCCTACTGGTGCCGCCAGTCTCCCAGCAGACCTCGGGGAAACGGCGCTTGCCGTGCTGGGGTGGCTTTCGGCGCTCCTCCCTCTGCACCGCCTGGCTGCGTCCCCGTTCGGCAGCATTTGCCCTCGTCTTCCCCCCGGCATGGGGTTTGGGACAACTCTTTTGGTCCTCGTGGTTATTTTATTTTATTTTATTTATTCCTTCTGCTTTCTTTTCCCCTGGAGGAGAAATCAGGCTCTGCTCTTCCCCAGCCCTCCAAACTACCCATTCCCGCTTGCATCACCTCTACAGTGAGTTTTGGTGGCAGCTCCGATATTTCTGCCTTTCAATGCCGTTTCAGCGCCTCCTCTGCGATGGCGGGGAGGACGTGTCGCCGTCCCTTCTCCTCCTCCTCGCCACCCTGCTTCCCACCCCGCCGCCGGACTCCCACCTTCCCCAATGCCGGTGGCCGCGGCTGAGCTCGGGCTCAGCGGAAACGGCCGAATCCTGCTCACAATAGGCCGTTTCCTGCAGGGGAGGGTTCTTTGGGGAGACACAAACGGGATTTTTAACCTTTTCCCGGGCAGCCCCCGGGAGTTGAGTGCTTGCTTGCTCCGGCACCGTGCTCGTGGTGATGCTCAAGGGCTGCCGCGGGTCTCCCCCCTCCCAAAGCGCAGTGCGAGGTACGCTTCGAGCATCTTTTTGGGCGCGCAACCTCTTCCCCATTCAAAAGGGTCAACGGGCTCCACCAGCCCAGTAATTTCTCCGCAGCAGGGAGCGGGTACCAGTCGCGATGGAGATACCGTTCACATCTCACTTGATGCCCGGCTTCACTGCTGGCTGCGCCGCTAGCACCGTCCCGGCTCCAGGGAGGGGATTTGGGGGCACAGAGCGTGGCACGAGGCTGCTCGTCGCTGTTACAGGTGTGTTGGACTTGATTATTCGAGTATTGTGCGCATTTTAGATGATCATAGCATTGCTCAGGGAGGGAAGCCCAGGGCTTGGAGGGGGTGCCCCCAAAAAGAGCTGTCCTGAGCTGAGTACTGAGGGGTTTTCTGCCTTCCCAGCCAGGCCTAAGCCTTCAGGGTGTGAAAACATGCCCGGTGCATGTCTGCGTGGTGCCAGGGAGGGATTTTGCTACATGTGCGTGGCTACTCCATCCGTGAGCGAGCTGGAGCCCGGAAAGAAAAATCTTCCCCTTTTTTTTTTAGAAAAAACTTTTTTTTTTTTTTTTAAAAACCCATTTTTAGTGACTGCGTATAGAAACGCGAAGCAGGTGCTTCGCAGAAATTGTTTTGCATATTTTATCCCCCCCTGCTTTGTAGAAAAATGAAGCCAAAGCCAGGCTGGGTTTAACCTGCAGCTGCCCGGTGACGCGTGTCCCGGCAGGGACGGCTCTTGTGCACGGTGTCGGATTGATCAGCCTCCGTGCGAGTTGAGTTTGGGGGAGAGCTCGCTGGTTTGGGGGGGTTTCTGTATTAAACAGGGGCTGCTGTCACAATCTCTGTAAGATGGGGAGACTGAGGCTCTGTCTTATTTCTCCTTTATGCCCACAGCTGGCTGCCACGAGCTCAGGGACAAGGCAGAGGAGAGGTCCTGATGCTTATGCATGGGGTGATGGTAATAAAGTTATAAAACGTTATATTATAAGAGATGCTGTGCCCTTGCCGGGCTTCCCCCCGTGCGCAGAGCCGTGGCAGTGAGTCACGGTCTCCCAAACACTGGGTTGTGACACTGTCAAACGAAGGCAGCTGACGAATGAGCTGCTATTTCCAGGCTTCCTGCTAAATATACTTTCCCCTCCCCGGTCCCCTCCGTAGTACTCTGCAAAAATTAAGGCCTTCCAGTCGTCAACGAGGGAAAACAAACAGTGTTTCTGCCTCCCCTGGTCTTTGCCAAGATGTGGGAACTGAGGCACGCGAGTGGCTTAAAGGCTGAATAGTTGGGGGACAGTGGGGGGGAGGGAAGGGGAAAAAGGGGGAAAAAAAAGCAGAATTTAGGTCTGTTTTTAAAAAGGGAATAAACAGGAGGGAGCGTGAGGCAATGATAATCGTGTCGTGCTGGGGGATGAGCGTGTGGGTGCAAGCAGAGGGGCTGTGCTGCCCTCGGGGAGGATTTTTTGTTGAAGCTGGCTGTTTACTTTTAAAGGCTTTGGTCCAAAGTTTGGTCTTTAGTTTACATATAGGGCCTGTGTCAATCCATACCGTGGATCAACAAGTTTTTCTTTCAATAAAAACTCTGGCTGGTGGGGGAAAAAAAACCCCGAAGTTGTGAGAAAAGCCTTCGGACAGCATTTTATCTTTAATTAGTTTGAGTTGTTTTTCAAATCCTGGAAATATTTTCCCGGCTCAGACTGCAGAAACTCCCCCAGCCTCCCCTGCCAGAGGTTTGGAGCCGCTTCCTTCCTCCAAAGCGGTTTTAACCCAAGCAGGACACGAGGACGGCTGCGTGCCTGGGGGCTCCCGGCCGGGGTGAAGACAGCACAGATCCTGCAAATCCTGCTGGTCTGAGGCTTTCAGGAAGGGAACTGAATTTCAGAGGGTGACCTGGTACCTCTCTGCAAAGGACGCTCCAAAATTATCCCTTGCTCCTGAAAATCTTAGGGCTTGAGAGTTGCAGCGGGTAGATTTTGGGAGAGGTGCTAAGCTGCCTGGATGCGCATGCTTAGACGCCTTTATTAAAAGCTGCTTGCATGCCTGCAAAAGTGGAATTGGGGTTTTAGTTTGGACTCTACAGCGTTTCGTGGCAGGGAAAAAACAGCATCTTCTAAAAAGAGTGGAGGGAGCTTTGCTGCTTTGTATTAAGCTGCAAACTCCAGGCTAGCGGGGGTGTGAATTTTTCCGGTCACCGCATTATCGGGGAGTAGATGCATAGCGGTGGATAGTAGATGCATAGTAAATGCATAGTAGTGCTGGGATTATTTGGCTTTATCCACCGTCCTGCCATCGAGGGCTGTGAAGCGGATGTGCTGATTTGATGTCTGGCTGCGTTGCTCCGTGAGAAACAGCCCGAGCCCTGTCTCAGCTGCTCTGAGCGTCGCAGGAAACTGTGGTCTTGACGGATGCATCGGGTTTTGCCTCTTGACCGTCTGGCTGCCCTTTGGTCCTCGGGTTAGTGTCCTTAATCACTAGAAACTTGCTCGCTGCTGAAGACGTTGTTCCCTCTGCGGGGCTGTAGAGAGCCTCCCAGGGCAACTGCTTCCCAAATTTAGCTGGTTCAGGCACACCCCTCATGCCAGGCAGGATGAGGCCGGGATGAGGAGCATCTCCCTCATCCCCTTGGGCAGTGGTGGGTTGCACAGAGGTGCCCTTAATGCAGGGCAAGGAGCGAATGAGGAATATACAGCCTTTCCTATGTGATCCCCGCTCGGCTCATCCCGTGCAGACAAATCCTCCTCCCATCCTATAAAAATCCCCACCAGAGTCGTGGTGACGCTCTGTAGGATTTGGACTTCTGGCTGCGTTAGGAAAAGGCTGGACACGAGAGGGGAAAACAAGAGAAGCGGGCTGAGGAGGTGGCCTCACAGCGTAATCAAAAAAATATAATAATACCTGGAGAGGCCCAATTCTGCCCCTGCCTGCAGCAGTTTTGCAGCGGCCCTGGCTCTGCTCGCTGCCCCGTGAGGCAGGAGCGTGCCTGGTGCTTCCTTTCCCGTCCCAGCATCTTGTTTCAGAGCAAACAGACAGCAAGCGTCTTGTGCCTCTGAATAATCCTCACGTTGCTCTTCCCGTTACAAATTTCTTTCTCTGTCCGTCTGCGAAACGCTCGATGTGAGCTCTAAAGCTTTGCCATCCCGGGTCCTCGTCGCTCCTTCCCGAGCCGAGGAAACCTGATTTCTGCCTTGCAGGGGAGCTGGAGGTGGCACTGCTGGAGGTCATGGTTCAAGTGTTCCCTGTTTTCCAGGAGGCTTAAGCTGCTCGGTGGTGTTTCCATCTCTATATGCTACGCAGGGCTGTAGAGCAAGGGGTGCACTGCGGGTGCTCCCAGTTGATGTGGCGGAGGAGATGCTGTGGTGGATACGGCTACAGCGTGGGATTTTGGAGCTTGATGTTCACTTGATGGAGCTCAGCTACAACCTCGATCAAGTCACTTATCCCTCCCCGTCCCCCCCCACCCCCGTAAGGGGCGTGTTGTGAGCAATGGCAAAAAGATGCGGGTCCCTCCGTGGACGTGCAGAGTGTCCTTCACCTTCAAGGATGGAGGGATGTCACCAGCATCCTGCTCAAGGTGGTTCGTCCCATGTGTTTTGTGCTCCATCTGCCTCGGCTGCTGGAAGCCACAACTCTTTCCCTATCTGAACTGATATGTCCTCGCAGTGGTGGCAAGGAGGTGGAGGTGACCCGGCCAAGGGCGTGCGGTGTGATCGGGACCCTGGTGGCCTCGCGGGTGGTGAGTCTCGGAGGCCAGAGCTAAGCTGGATGATAAGTGTGTTGTTCTGGGTTTCCTGTGTGATTGCAGCAAGGAAAGCATGGAGGTATAAGTGCTCACAAAATGAGATGCAACCAGTCTTTGAGCCCTTGGAAAGCCCAGGCACCCACCTCTGAAAATGCTGCCTTGGCCATTAAAGTCCCGCTGGTGCCCACAGGGGAGCGTGCGCAGGGGCTGCGCCAGGGCGAAGCGTGAAGTCCTGCACGCGTTCAGACGCTTCCATGGTCAGTATGAACACTTCCCGGCTGCTTGTAGGAGACACGAAGGCCTTTGATGCCCGAGAGGAGACCTTCCCTCCACGTAAGGTCTGCGAGATGCCCAGAGGTGGACGGCGAGGTCGGATGTCCGGAGGTTCAAATTTGGCCCCCAGAACTGCCGCTGTGGCCCTTGGGGAGTGGCTGCAGGTGTGTGCCTGGGCTTCCCCATCCATCAGGTGGAGGAGGGAGGCAGTTCTTCTCCGGATATCGGTCTGTCGGGATGCCTGCCTACGTCCAGGAGGTTGCATTTGTCGTAGGCTGTAAAACATTTTATGTAGGCTTTAGAAAACAATCCGCTACCTCTCTGTAATGAAAGGTGGAGAGGTGAAGGGGTGCAGAGGTGGCCCCCGAAGCTGCTGGTGGTCCTCTGGCCGGCGGGAAGCAAAGGCAGGTGTGGAGATGGGACAAAGCATTGACTGATCCTTGAGTGGATGGAGGAAACCTTCCTACCAGGCCCTCCAGAAAAGAAGATTAGGAGAGTCCTCGCAAACCATGTTGGGGCTGAGCACCATGCAGGCATTGCTCCCCGCTTTGGAGATGCTCCGGGGCTGTTTTCTCGGACCCACAAGTCTGGCTTATGGCCCCTCCGGTGGATTAGGATACTTCATCTGGAGATGATGCCTTGTTTCCATCTGTTTACACCTCTGGATATCAGCCAGGTACTTGGGTAGGACGTAAAACCTTCAGTGCCTGCTGCCATCGGCACATCCATGACACGGCCGCCCATCCCTGCAGCATCACGGCCACCGCCGGGTTTATGCATTTGTTTCATGCCCTGCGCCAGCTTGTGATGAGGTTTGGATATAAAGCCCGGGTCCCAGTTGTGCTGTACTGCTCTGGGATGAAGCAACTTTGCTCTCCTAGCCAGCGAGGTTTCCAAGAGCCAGAAGTGTGTCCTTAAGCCAGCGTGAGGCCAGGCGATGCGCTTTTTCCATTACCACCCCAAACTCTGCTCGTGGTCTCCCTCGGCAGAGTGCTTCTCTCATCTACTCCTCCACAAGCAGAGCACAACACGTGGGATTTCTTTTTTTAAGTGGGGGGAAAAAAAGAAAAATAAATCCCCAGACATCATGAAAACATGCCACGGAGTTTGCTTTCCCCCAGCCAAGGCTGCAAGAGGATGGGCAGTGCTGCCTGCACCAGCGGAGCCACCGGCTGGTTGCTCAATGCTCGTGGGGGCGGGATGGGAACACTTGGCAAAACCCCTGTGTTCCCCCCTCCCCTGTAGCTACGTCCTGCAAGACGTGAAGCAATATTTCCAGCCGGGTTTTCAGTAGCCTGCAGCTTTGAAACGATTGCAGCGACGTCTGTGTGAAATGCAGCTCATCTCCATCGGCGTTCGACGGGCACGGGATTTTTTTTGGGCTGGTTGCGTATGAGGCTGAGTGCTTGCAAAGTGCTGGAAGGGGGGCTGAGGGGCCATCAGAAAGGTAAGACTCTCCGGTGATGTGTTGCCCGTGTGGGGTTGGACGGGGTGAGGGCACGGCCGGAGGTTGGCGTCGGATGTCTGTGCGCTGGGTTTTGCTGTGGACCCGGCTCAGGGGTTCATCGGTCTCAGAGATGCTGCTTTGGGGTGTTCTGCAGATGCACCGGGATGGGATGCTCGGCTCTGCCCCGTCCCCGCGACACCTCCTGCTTCACTGCTGGGGAGGATCGTTCCCTTGAATTAAAAGCAATAAATGAAGAGCAAACAGCACAGCCCTGGTTTGCAGGGAGCCTGATGTCTCATCCCAGGCTTTTTTTTCCCTTTATGGGCCAGCCTGTGATGCTGGACATGCTGGGATCTTGTGCATGGCCAGTGCAAGGTTCAGCTCTTTTGCCAAAGCTGCTTTTCCCCTGCCCCGTGGGATCCTCATGAGCACCTGCGTGGTCTCTAAAGGGGTCCGGCTTCATCAGTCCTGTGGCTGCTGTTACTAGAGGAGTCTCCGCAAAAGTGCGGGGGCTAAATACATGTGTAGCCTTTAGGGCTTTGAAGCCACTGAGCTTGCTCAGGTGCTGGATGTTGTCATTTCTACCCAGGCCGGGCTCCTGGCATGGCTGCCCGGAGTGGATGGAAATGAGGGATGGTTTTAATTAACAGAAATGGCCCACTGGGTCGGGCTCCCGGTGTCCCCCGAGCAGCGGGTCGCGTGTGACAATGGTCAGTGCTACTGGAGGGATACTCATTCTTGAGGGGAAGCGGAGAGCTTCCCCCATCAGGCTGACTGGTGGCTTTTACAGCTGCATTACTTTTCCAGGTTTCCCCATCTTTTATCCACCCCTTCCTCCTTCCCAAATCCCAGGTCCCTGTTGGCAAACTTCTTCCCTAGCAATCCCCTTGCTGAAAGGCACTTTTGTAAGTGAAGCCGATGCCTGCACATCTCCCTGGATGATTTGCCTTACCCAGCACGGTAGGAAAGAGGACAAAATAGTGGCAGAGGAATGAATTTAACAACTGACTTGCCTTTTTTTCCTTTCTGTGTGTCTTTGACAGGTTACAGCCAAGACTGCCTTCCTGTTTATCTTACCTCAGTATAACGTTAGCGTGCCTACAGCAGGTAAGAGATGCTGCCGCTGCGGATACCCCAAGGGGAGGGTCGAGTCGTCATCTGCCCCAAACCCTCACTGTCAGCTGGCCTGGGCTCACTCTCTACTGATGCACACTGCTCGGGCCCTTGTCTGGTAGTAAAGGAGATTTTAAAAATAAGATATGTGGGGGAAAAGCAAAGTTTTAGTAGCTCAGAGCACACTGATCATGTCTGCCAGCCCTTGTGCTGCCAGGGTTGGGAAGAAATGCTTTCCAGGGGCTTTTATGGCTTCCTCTCTACCCTGTTTCTGCCATGGTCAGGCTGCTCTGTGCACTCTGCAGGGTGAGGATCCTCCTCCAAGCCTGGTCAGGCAAGATCAAATTGCCTGATTGCATGCCCAGAGTAGCTCTGTGCCCTGCCAAGGAGCAGGAGAGATTTAGCTCTTTGCTAAGCAGCAGGGGCCGCACAGGTAATTCCCGCCTCACTTTATTGGGGATAGCACAAGGTGAGGGTGTGGAGATGCACGTGGTGCACAGCATCCCTGCTCCAGGCAGCTTATGGTCCTGATGCACATGGAGAGTAATTCAAGGAGGCTCCGAGCTGGCGCAGGTCCAAGCCCGATGGACCAGAGGACGTGCTCCCAGCCAGGAGGCAGCTGGAGGCTCGGTCCCTGTTTGTATTTTGGCTGCTAGTAGCTACCTTCCTAGCTGAGAGCCCCTCCAGGGCTGGCAGCGACCTGGGCACCAGCGCGGGAGCAGCAGGAGGTGGTTTGGGTAAAGCCCTGGGCTCAGGATGAGCCAAATGCCCAGGGCACAGAGCCTGGCTCAGTGGCAGAAAACTGCAGTTAATTAGAAGTGTTTGAGTAATCATCCAAGGGAAGAGCGGGGTTGTTGGGATTAGTGTAACTACGATGAGGCAAACACGCGGAAGATGAAAGGTCTGCCCTTAAAATCTGTGAACGTTATGGTTGAAGAAATCATCCCGCTTCCAGATTAAATTGTGGTCCGCACTCCCCTATGGCACGGTCCAGACAACTTCTGCTGCCGTTGTGTTAAGTGATTTATTCTTTCCTGATACCAGCAATCTCGGGGGGAGGCACATAACCATCTTGCCAGGACCAGGTGTTGGGGTATCAATATAGGGCATGAGCTAGCTGAGGCCTTGGGGAGAGAGACCTTGGTGCAGCAAGCTTGCTCAGAGGAAGGGTTATTGCTCACCTGAATTTTTTCCAAGGCTGTTTCACATCCCTCGCAACAAGGATGCTGTTACCCCTCAGTCGGCAGATCCCGCTCTCGTCTCCCATGCTCAGCGCACGCACGGCTCCTGCTAGAGCAGCCTCTGAAATGCCCTAGAGAGAGGAGAGGAGGCAGAGCAGTCGCACACATGCATAGTGTTATTTTCTTTAGTCGTGCAATTCTTTTATCTTACACTGGGGTTATGAGCTCTGTGATACAGGCAACGTTTTTACCTCTGGGTTTGCACAGCACCCAGCCGGGGGGCTCCTAAGGACCAAGTGTTTTCACATCCTTACGCCAGGTGTTTTCATAAATCCTATTCAAACCTTATTCATGTACCTCAAATCTTAGAAATCTGGACTGAGGCTTTGTTTGAGGGTAAACAGGGTTGGTGACAGACAAGTCGCTTCCCAGCATTGATATCAGGAGAGGATAGTCAGGATCAGGGTAAGGGAGAGCAGCAGCTGGGGGTGGGCTGAGCTTCTCATTGCGATGCTTTCTGCAGCGTGCCACAAGGACAGCAGCTTTCCCGACTCTGCTTCTTGCCCATAAGCTGCAGGGCTGCAAATAGTTGCCTAAATGCAGACGTCTGGGGTATTTTGGGTGCCGTTAGGTCTCCTGTTGCTCCAGAAGAGCAGGGCCTCCCATGGGTCCTATTTCTCATCCGCCAGCCCCGTGCCGTTGTCTCAGATCTCTTAATAGCACAAGGCATCTGCATTTAGGCAGCTGAACCCTGCTCCAGCAGCATTCAGGGGTGAGTGGAAGAGACTGGGTGTTGGATGATAACCGGGGGGGTGGAAATCCCATCCCGAGCCCTAATGCTCCCAGTGGGGTGTCCCTGATCCCATCACGTGCTTCAGCGCTGCCTCCATGTCTTCATCCCTCCAGGCTGATAAATTCCCGTCTCCGCAGCTGGGCAGTCCCCAGCCCCTCACCTCTGGCAGGGGAAGCTTGAAGTGTCCTGAGTGACTCCTCCTTTGAGGTGTGTAACTATTAGAGGGGAAACCATCCACACTCTGCCGATGAACTAACGCCGGCTAGAGCCCTTTTTTCCAGCCCTGCAGTCACTGGCACAGTCATGACCTCTCTCTGCCTCCACCTCTCTGGTGGCCCCATCCAAGCTGCGAGTTGAGAATAGCCCCCCCTGAATTTCCACTAACCCTTAAGCCCTTGCCTGGAAATCGTTTGGGTCATGGGGATTTGACCCACCGTTTGGTCTCTTTGCAGATGGGGAGCTGGTCCAGTATCACTATGGGTTGAAGGATCTGGTCACCATCCTCTTCTACATCTTCATCGCCATCATCCTGCATGCGGTGGTGCAGGAGTATGCCCTGGACGTGAGTGCTGTTCGGCGTCTTGAGTCACCAAAATATCTCAAGTACCACGGGGGGACGTCATCCTGCTGCAGTTAAATGCAATTCTGGGGGTAGTCTGGGGGTTGGGGTGGTGATGAGTGAGCCTTCATCTCTGGGGGCTGCTTGGGACCGGGAGGAGGAGGAGGGAGAATTGTTGATCCGGTGGCTCATGTTTTCTTGTTCCTTTTCTCTCCCTCTGCTCCTTCCCAGAAAATCAACAGGCGTCTCCATCTCTCCAAGGTCAAACACAGCAAGTTCAATGAATCGGGACAGCTGGTTGCCTTCCACCTCACCTCCGTGATTTGGTGCTTGTACGTCGTGGTGACGGTAAGGCACGGGGCCACCAGGCTTCACGTTCCCTGGGTGGGATCTGGGGTTTCTGGAGTGCAAAACTCCCGATGGCAGCAGAAAGTCCCCAGCCAGCCTCTGGGCCAAGACGGGCACATTTCAGCAAGTTTAGTTTTCAAGTGTGGTGGGTCTTTCCAGCCACTGAGTGAGGGCACCTTGGGGAAATCCTTCTCCTGTTCCATGTAAAGCACAAGCAAATGGGCTGTGAAATATTTTTGGAGCCGGACCCTAGAAATCCTGCCTGGCCCTGTCATCTCTATCCGCTGCTCCGGGACCTGCCGTCTTTCTCAGCCTTATTTTCCTCCTTATTTGCGTTCAGTGCCTTGGGGTTTTCGGGTGCCCTTTACAGGGATGTGGAATGAATGGGCAGATTTTTGTGATCCCTCTCTTGGTGAGCTGACGGTGAGGGGAATGCTGAGAGCAGGGAAACCACGCCGCGCTTTGCGTTGCATTGGGGATGTTTCAGCCCATAACTGCTGGGAGAAAAATTGAGGGTGGAGATGTTTCATTTTTGGGAGGAAGGGGAAGGGAAGAACAGGCAGCAGTGGAGAGGCACAACTATTTTGGCAGTGTGAAGTGATGCCGATGCTTCGCTCCCAGTGGCCGTTGAGGTTCAGCTGTGGTCCCCGGCGCCGCTGGGGATGGATGCTCGGGGGCAGGTCCGCTCCCTGCTGCTCAGGGGGTCCTGCCAGCCCTCCTTAAAGGATCGCTAACCCCTCCAGGCCAGCACTTCTGGGGATCTGCTGGCACTGCCCCTGCCCTGTAGGGCTGTGGGGAGGGAAACTTTGGCAAAACAGTCGAGGCCACTGGTTTTGGGCTGCCCTCACCCAGCACCAGACCCATCCCTCACCAGCTCCGGGGCTGCAGCCTCCTGTGCAAACCCGTGGTGTGCTCCCCAAATGCCCCGCATGTGCAGAGCAGGTCACCCTTTGCAGAGCTTGCACCACCCCCAGGCTCCCCCAGCTGGAAAAAGGGCTTAGGACGACAGGGCACGGACAATGGTGACAGATAGGTCCTGAGCAAGATGAATTTTCCAAGCCAGTATCTCTTTGCAAAGCCCAATGCAGCACTGCTGTGGCAGGAGCTGGGCAAGCGTGGAACGGGAAGGGAGCCCCCTCCTGTAATCTGCCCTGCAAGCATAAGGCAAGAGGCCGTAGGGGAATGCAGGCAGGTGGAAAATTAAACTATGCAGTGCATATTAAATTATTTTTGTAGGCGTTTTCTGTTCCCCTTTCTCCTCAGAAGTACTTTTTTTTGTTTAAGTGATACTCGGGTTGGAAATGCCGGTGGGGAAGAAGCCCTCCCGGACCATGCATACGGCTGCTTGTAGCCGTGCTACCGGCATCTTGCCCCCACGCCTCCAGAGCATCCCTCTTGCATTGCCCAAACCCCAAAACATCCTATCCTGAACTCGGGACCTTCTGTGCAACCAAGCAAGCAGCTTTCAACCCCCAAACACGGGGGCCTCATGAAACTTGAGCAGGGTGCTAGAGACCCCTGAATGTGGCTGAGCTTTGGAGAGCTCAGCCTTGGCTTGTGCAGGGGACGTGGTTTTTACTGCAGGCTGAAAGGACTCGGGTGTCATCTCCAGTTCCTAGTTTTGCTGTAGCATTAGCCCGCCCCCTCGTAACCATGCTCTGCCTCTTTCTTTTGCTGAAGGCTTGCATCTCTTCTCTTTTTCAGGAAGGATACATATCAAACCCCCGGAGCTTGTGGGAAAACTACCCGCATGTTTATCTTCCGTAAGCACTCGCAAGGGCATTTTGTTCGCAGGCTGACCGCTTCCTTCCTCTATATGGTTTTCTCTGCGGCTGGGAGTGGGGTGCTGCTGACAGTGCAGCGCCCTTTGCATGCACCCTGCTGCAAGGATGCTGCAGTGAGATCCTGGGGGACAGGGGATATCTTGTTTATGGCCCCGGGGAGGGTGTTCCCGGAGCATTTCCTCCATGAAGAAGGCCCTGCGGGCTTGGTTACTCATCCTGGCTGCTTACTGCCTGCATCACATTCGGCAAGTTGCTTTGCTGTTCATTTTTCATAGTAGAAACAAAGAAGTGGGGGATAATCCTCCCTTCTTGGGTTTTTGCAAAAGTGAGGTTTGCTTAGAGCATGGAGACCGCAACATGAGCAGCCGGATAAACTCTGGGCATGACTAGCTCAGCTGAACATACAATTTCAGCCCAGAAATGATGCCTCCTAAATCCCGTGGCTTCCATGCAGTGGAGGGATTGCTTGGTGCTGTGCGGCTGGGCACTGGTCCACCCCTGGGACCTCCCAGGTCCTTGGGGTCCTGCCATGCCCCGGGCTGGCTCACGTGGCTCGTCCCTGCGTTTCAGGTTCCAGGTGAAGTTTTTCTACCTGTGCCAGCTGGCGTACTGGCTGCACGCCCTGCCGGAGCTCTACTTCCAAAAAGTTCGCAAGGTGAGAGCCAGGCGGGCGCTCCCTCAAGCACCCTGGGGATGCTTGAGGTGGTTTGCCCACTGGCTTTGGGGAAAGCGAGCTTTGGGAGAGGGCGGGTGAAGAGGGGCAAGAGGTTAACGCGGCTTTCCGCCCCTGCCAGGAGGAGATCCCCCGCCAGCTGCGGTGCATCGCGCTCTACCTGGTGCACATCACCGGCGCGTACCTCCTCAAGTGAGTCAGCTGCCTCGGCGCCCCGTCCCGCGCCGCGGATGGGGCTGAGCAGGTCCTTTTGCTGTGCGAGTCACCCGGGAAGCCTCAGCGGGGTGGGGGGGTTAAAGGGAATTGACCTCCCGACTGCGGGCCATTAGTCAAACAGTTTTCACAGACCCACAGAGCTGATTCTGCAGTTCAGCGGTGTTACGCAAGTGCACAGGAGGTCTTTGTTCACAGGGTGTTGCAAAGCAAATGTTAACCAGGGACCCAAAACGCAGGCTGATGGGTGCATCTCCCCTGGGTGTGGGAAGCACCCTGGGGTGCTCTCCCAGCGCAGCACAGGCAGGCAAACTCTTACCCTTCCTCTGAGTGTGTGCACAGAGCAGCAATGCCAGTGGTTAGGGCTTTGTGTTGGACCTATCCCAGCTCTGCTACTGGTTTGGGCCGCTTTGATGTTTTGGGGACAGGGATTTCCCCTGTCGCAGTCCTACCCCCTCTGCTGTGGAAAGGTCCAGGTTTGGGCTGGCGCTTGCTGCAGCGCAGGGATGACAGGGGAGATGCTGTCGCTGGATAGGAAGGACCGAGGTCGACCAGCCCGGTGATGCTTTTTTCTTTCTCTTCCCTCCTAGCTTAACCCGCTTGGGGCTGATCCTCTTGCTGTTGCAGTACTTAGCCGAATTCTTCTTCCACATGGCCCGGCTGGTCTACTTCACAGACGAGAACAACGAGAAGCTGTAAGCAGGCGAGCTGGCCATGGCTTCCCTCCTCCGGCGCCCAGGAGAGCCGTCGGCGTGATGGGGGGCTCGTTCTCACCTTCCAGCTCAGCGCTGGAGGCTGCTTCTGCCGACACCTCTGCTTGCTCCCCTGCAGGTTTAACGTCTGGGCTGTCGTGTTCGTGGTGACCAGGCTCTTCACCCTCACCCTGTACATCCTGGTCATCGGTTTTGGGTTGCCACGCGTGGAGAACCAGGCCCTTGACCCCGAGAGAGGGAACTTCTTCAGCTTTCTCTTCAACAATATCCTCTTCAGGTAGGAATGTCCCCTACTGTATCTTCCTTGGTTGTGTTATCCCAAGGTGTTTTTTTGCCGAGTTTGGAAATGCCAGTGGGGATCTGATCTAGGTTCCCATTAGGGAAGGTCCTGGTGAGCTGGGAGGGTGTGGAGGGAGCGAGGAGGGGTTAAGGGCTGCAGAGCCACGATGGAAGGGAAAAGCCAGCAGATAAGTTGTTCATTGAGTGAAGTTATAAAACACAAGCCTATCTGAGAGAAAGGCTTGTAGGCTTTCCCTTCTGCACCTGTAACTGCATTTATATGAATGTGGTCAATGGAAAGGCGTTTTCCCTTCTGCTTGGACTTGTTTAGCTGCCTGTTGACATGGGAAGCAGAGGATGGGATGGGTTCCTCATGCCTTGCAGTCTGTCTGTCAAGACTGGGAGCCTTTCTCACCCATACAGCAGCTGTAGGTTCAGTTCAGAAGTTGCTAGGACAGGTGCCTGGTCATTCCCAACGTTTTTGGAGCTATGGACTACTGGCATGCCTGAGGATTTGCGGGACTTTCTTAGCTCCCTTCCATCCCCATCCACCTTTTAGTTGTACAGAGCAGCTGGGGACACCTTACCTTGACCTTGCAGACTGTGGTTTGGGCAGTGCTGGTTGAGATGATCCTATTCATCCATTCCTGCCCTAAAGTCTTAACAGTCAGCAGTGCCCTGAGCACCTGAGAGCTTCGTGGTGGCGAGGGAAAGGAGAGTAGCTGTCCTGAGCTCAGGAGATGGCAGAAAGCAGAGATGGTGGCTGGAGGGACGGTGCCTGCCTCCAGCTCTCAGTGCAGCCGCCCAGGGGGACCTCGGCCACCGGCCTCGGTGTGGGTGGAAGGCTGGGCTGGTGGTGGCCTCGCTCGTCTGTTCTCAGCCTGCCTCTTCTCCGCCCCTGCCAGAATGAGTGTGCTGCTGTTGGTGTGCCTCTTCCAGGCCTCAGTGATGTGGCGCTTCATCCACTTCCAGCTGCGGCGCTGGCGGGAGTACTGGAATGAGCAGAGCAGTCGGAAGCGAGCTGCCGCCGGCGCCAAGCAGCAAGCCAAGCCGCTCAAGAGGGACTCGGGTGAGTGCTGGGGCCGGCGTGCCATGGGGTGGCACCGTGGGAGGCATCAGTCCCGTGGTTCAGCATCCCCTCAGCAGGCTGCTGCCCGTGCAGGCGATGCTGCGGCGGGGCGCCCCCCCGCCCCCCGCCCAACCCCGGGGCCCAAGCAGCAAGCCAAGCCGCTCAAGAGGGACTCGGGTGAGTGCTGGGGCCGGCGTGCCATGGGGTGGCACCGTGGGAGGCATCAGTCCCGTGGTTCAGCATCCCCTCAGCAGGCTGCTGCCCGTGCAGGCGATGCTGCGGCGGTGCCTCCTGCCGCTCCGCGCTAAGCCTGGGGTCCCCAGCAGGATCGTCCCACGGTGGTGGTTTTCTCCATATCTATGGGCCAGCCCCAAGAGGGTTAAGGTTTTGGCCTGTGCAAGGGACAAAGTTTTCTCTCTCCATCCCCAGGTTACCATGAAAATGGAGTGGTGAAGGCGGAGAACGGCACCTCGCCACGAACCAAGAAGCTGAAATCGCCGTAGAAGCAAAGGCTTGTCTCCTGGGGAGGAGGGCAAGATACCAGGACTAAGAAGCAGCCCCTCCTCCCGGTCCTCACGAGCGTCATCTTGAACGGCTTGGAAACCGGTCATCTTCCCAAGGTGTCTCTCGCTCTCCTCCCTTCCTTTCTTATTCTCTTGAACCATTTGCAATAAAACCAAAAAGCTCCCTTTCCGCTGCTCCCATCCCCTCGTAGGAGCCTTTTCCAACCCTCCTGGTTTTGCCGCCTTCTGTTTCATCGTAAATCAGCGTGCAATTTTTTTCTTTTCTATTTTAGTGTTTGGTTATTTTTGATTATTGTTACAAATGCATCATAGATGGTTCCAAACAATCCTTTTTTCTTCTACAGCATGTTCCTCCCCTCTCTTCGTGGTGCTTCCCTGAGCCCCAGGGTCAGGGCCACGGCAGCTTGAAGGCACCACGTGTCTGTTACGAGAACAGGCTCCTGGGGGATTGCACTGGGGCTCTGTGACCCTGAGGCTCAGGGGTGCTCTCGGGTGAGGGTTGCCTCTCCTGGGGCACGTCTGGCCAGTGCTTGGCAAGTGCCGCAGGATGGTGGTGCTGCAAATAGAGACCAGGGTCCAAGAGAGGAACCTCAGCCGTGTCTTGTCTCATGGTGGACCTCTGGTTAAGTGGGGTTTTTCTGAACCCTGGTTTTGAGCTAATTTTGGAGAGCTGGGCAGCAGAGAAGGGAGAGAATTTCCCTCTTCATACAGGACCCATCTCCTAGCCTTTGCTTGCCCCAGCTCTTCTGGTACAGCTGGGTCCCTCTTACCCTCTTGGCTGCAGGAGGTGAGCTGCCCCGTAGTTGTTCTGGACCTCCCAGCCCCAAGAGCTGGGCTCGGGGCCCTGCAGCTCGCAGTGCCTTGTCGTGGGGCAGCAGCATCCTCAGGTTCACGTGAAACCTTGAGTCCTGCCCCGCTCTGAGCGCTGGCCTGGCTTCTGTCAGCCCAGGCCCTTTGCCAGCTTGTGTGCACCTCGTGGACCTGGTGTTCTCACGGCTCATGACCACGTCCAGATGACAAACTGGCTGCTGCAAAGGGTTTTTGCACCAATGGAACTGTGCCCCTCATGCTGTCACCTTAGCCTTCCTCATCCCTACTGTACCAGTCCAGCCGTGCCATCGGCAGCCACCAGCTTCACTCTTTGTTTCCAAAGGATACAGAGCTTGTATCCACCCAAGGTGCTATCAAATGCAGGGTTTCTTCCAAAAAACCTAGTCCCTTCATCCCTTTCTGAGCTGTGAATGAGATGACAGGGAAGGGGAAGGAAGCCGGGGCTGCAAGGAGCAGCTTGCATATTACGAAAAGCCTGACCTGTGACGTATAGCTGTTGGCAGATGCAGTTGTCTTAAATCTACCTCAGAGGCCATCTGTTGCTGCAGACCACTTTCCCCTCTTGCTCCTGCCCATTGCCACCTGTACGTGGTGGCAGGAGATTTGTGGGAACCCCAGATCCCACCGGTTCAGTCCCCTGCTGCCTCTTTGCTGGGGAGCAGCATCTCCTGCCCAGGGTTTCGTGGGTCAGTGCCAGCTTGCTGAGCTTCTTTGGGGTGCCATGCACCAGGCTAGATTTGGTAAGCGTGCAGTAGACGGGCACCTCTCACCCCACAGCTCTCCTCCGGGGCAGTTTCTGTAGCTGGGCTTTGCTGTTGGTGCCTCTTGTGCAGTGAAGCCAGCTGTAACTTTCATTCTCCTTCGCCGCGGCAGGAGCAGGCGAGTGGTGCGCTCCCTTGGCTGGGCGAGAAGAGGGGGCACAGGGTTGCGGGGAGCTCGGGTGCTCTTCGATATGCCAGCCAGGATTGAGGTCCACCTTCCTTGCATGTGAGGGAGGCACGTGGTCCTTAGTGTGCCTCTTGCTCAGCCCTTCGGGCAGCTGAACTCTGGCTCTCTCCGAGTGCAATTCTAGCTTGAGGCTGGCGCAGTCGTCCTTCGCATCATTCGTGTTTTAGGGAACGGGTGACAGTTGATTTTTCTGTCCCTCTTTGAGTTGGGTCAGGTTTTTTTTTCCTCCTTCTGTAGGTGTCTTTTCTCCCTTCCTCCCCCTCTCCTTACTGAGCCCCAGCTAACGCTGGGCACCGGAGGAAGAAAATGTGCAGGGACACGAGGACAGTTGGTCAAATTCCACTTGTTCCTCCACCCCCACAACCTCTGAGTCCCAAACGAGAGATGTTGGGGGAGAGGGATTCCCCCTTTTTCAGGGCGACTGAGGAAGGAGACTTTGGAGCAGAGCCCTTTGTGGCATCTTGCAATTGCTCCTCATAGCCCTTGCCAGGTAGATAATACACATTTTGGCTCAGAGGCAGTGACAGTACCTGCAGTGCAATGTGATGAGACGGGGGAAAAGAGCTTTATGTTAGGGAGGACACGGAAAAGGTCTAGTGTGAGAGGTTTTTCCTTTCTTCTGCCTCTTCCCATCCCCAGCCATCGACGGCCACGTGCCCTCCGAGAGCAACTGCTGGCCGGCAATCTCTGCAGAGCCTCAGCCGGTCCTTTCTGCAAAGCTGGTGCCTCGCAGCAGCTGAGGTATTGACTCTTTTAACAGGTGACACATACAGTCCCCCCAAAAAACTGGCTGCTGAATGATTCCTCCTCCTGCCTGCTTCGCTTCAGGCAGCTTTTCCACTTGCACAATCCTGCGTCTTCATAAAGTAGCTAATTATGCTTTGTATCCCAAGTGCCTTATGTTGCCATGTAGTCTCTCATACGCTTGATCTGTGAACTGTATCAGTAGCTGAATGCCCTCCCTCTTTACAATGTATGTACAACATATGCTACATTTATGTGTTTTTTGTTTTCTTTTTGATAGAGCTACCAGTAAAAAAGACAGTTTGTTTTGGAAGCATTTCCATGTGTTCTTTTTTTTCTATTTTTTTTTTTTTTTTAACCTATAGATGATGGGGCTTTTTTTGCCCTCCCCTATCTTTAGTCCTCAGAAATCCCCATCCTTCTGTTATGCCCAAGTATGGCAGGATCCCTGGGGTCTTTTATTGTTTTTTTTGAGCTGAGCCTTTGCTGTAAGGCAATACGCGCTGTCATCCCAGAGGCCTGCGATCCACCCTCCGTTGGAGGAGCTGTCACGGGCTGCTTCTGCCTCTGCCTTGTAGTGCGAGCACCATCCCTCGGCTGCAAGCCCGCAGTAACTGCTTCTACGTCCATGTCACTTCTCAGCAGGCCGAGCCTTCTCTTCAGCCCAAAGAGCTTTTTCTTTCCCAAATGGAGTATTTTCATTGCAAGCCCTTAGTGGTCAGTCTTTTCTTGACCACTCCGTGTACAAAGATGCCGAGAGCCCACTTTCCTTGAGTGGGTGCTCTTCTGGTGCCCCATCTTGTCAAGCCCTGTGTCTTCTCCAAAGAAGACCCAACCCCAAACAGGAGCTCTTGTCCACCACAGTGCAGCAAGTGTTAGAGACTATGCAAAACTGCAAGTCCTTACTTTCAGTGTAACGCTATTGCTTGCGCCCTTCCTGTGGACTTGAGGCTGCTTTTGTAGTCTGTGTCCATTATCCAACCTAAGAAGGTCGGGGATTGAGTAGTCTGTGATTTTTTTTTTTTAGTGTGAAGCATATTGTTTTCCTGCCCTAGCCTAGAAGAGCTGTGAAATACCAGCACTAGTTCTCTCTTTTTGTCTTAGATAGCTGGGGAACGGGCTTGGGAAGAGAAAGGGGCAGAGGAAGAACAGATGTAGCATTTCACATATAATTTTTGAGTGACTTATGGGGCATTACAGTTGCGGGTTTTGTTTTTTTTTTTTTTGTTTTAGGATTCTTTCTTCTTACTCATCATGTTTGGGTTAGTAGTAAAGACGACAAGTTCCAGTTCCCCTGTAGGTCCCCTTACCCTTAACTCACCATTTTAAAATGTATTTTTGGTAGGCTTCCTGGTCGGAGGGAAGAACGACTACTCTAGGATGCCTCCCCCTTGCCTCCAAGTGACTCTTGAAGCTTGTAGCTACCCTGCCTTTACTGCAGTGCATGGGGGTTTACAGCAGCCTCAGTCTCTTGCCTTAGATGAAGTCTTGGTAGATGGACCCCGACTTGCATCAACAGTAGATGGAGATTATGGGGTTTGATTTACAGCCTTCTGGTAAACTTCACGAGTGTGTAATAGATGGTTTGGCAGGCTTTATACTCAAACTGTGAAGTACGTTACTTCGCCCTGGGGCTGCGTGCGGGGTTTTGCTGGCAGTGGGGAAGAATGGCTCTTGTAAAAGCCAGGCAGAGGCACGGAGTTTTTCTTTGAATATGTTGAACTCGATGGACCAAACTTCAGCAAAGGAACTCGAGGAAAATTTCTGTTCTTCCATATTTATGCTTTAGTGCAAATTTCCTAATTTTGGAGGGGGTGGGGGGAAGTAACAGTCGCTGATATTTTATCCCGTTTGTTTCATTCTTCTTGTCACTTAAGTTTTTGTATGGATTTTGTTTGTTGTTGTTTGTTGTTAAATGACTTTTGTGATAAACTCAACAAAAGTATTTTTCTGAAATAAATAAATAAAAGGCATAGATTTCTTCCACTGCTGCTGTCCGCTGATGCTTTATCACTCTGCTAAGCTGTATGCGTTTCCAAAGCAAGCTGCGATGGGTTATACTTGTCTCTCTCCTGCCATACCAGATTAGTCTGTTCCCTTTGGTGCAGCATCTCGTGTCCCTGTATTCCCCACAGCTGGGGTTCATCTTCTTGCATTTCCCATGTCTACAGCATGGGCAGCTGCTTCTGAGTTAGTTATCTGTGGCTGCCTTCATCGTTGGGACTGGAGGATAAGGGCATTTGGAGGATATGATTTATCTGATGTGGTTTAGGTGCATAGTTTATGGTGAGCTAAATTGTATACTTTCTGTAGCTGGCCCCGGGCGTGCTACATGATTGGCCGAGCATTAGGTCACAGTTTCATGGCATGTGCAGAAAACAGTTTCTGACTTTCTTTTCTACAGCCTACAGCTCCAGTAATCTCATCTGTAAGTTCTTGGTCTCTGGAAAAGCTGATTAACGTGGCCTTTAGAACTTAGCCTTTGTCAGCTGCTGCTTGGAAGGCACCTCATGGAATGCCAAGCTGTGCTTTGAAATCCAAGGTGGACCTGAGAGAGCTGTAGCAATTCTGGGTCGGAGTGAGCAGCAGCACAAAATGGGCCCAGAAGGGAAGAGCGGTGACCTTTCCGAACAGGCAGGAGGGAGCTGTCATGTGGAGACTCTCAGCCGTCTGAGGGGAAGTGGGAATCCACAGCACAAAAGCTGATTTAAATAAGCATTTTGTTCCAAAGAGCTTTGTTCTCTACTGCGTGCATGATAGCCGCCTTTCATATGCGCTCGATGGCGATACCTGGCAGGTGTCCTCTGGGGTGAGAAGGTCCCTGCCACGT